ATATTGTGTCTTTTTTATCTACAACAACGGCATAGATATATATTGGCGATGCGAATTTGGATGACCGAGAAGCTCTCTACTTGTGGCCGAAGGAGCCTAAAGACATGCTGGCTCTATTTAGCTCATGCGCAATGCAGACGGTGAGACCGGCCTCCCTGCTCTGAGTATACTGTACTTTAGTGTTGCTGGTGCTACGGGATGCTCATATGCATCATCTATGAGCCAGGGAGGCCTCCTGGCTCTGGCCTCCCGTTCACGATTCTGGTCTGAAGTAAACTGTCTGAGATTGGACTTCGCTCGTTACGCGTCGGTTGAGAATGAATCCAAGGATTATCAGACATTTATTTCAGTCTGCTATCCTGATGGATGTTTTCAATTTTACGAGGAAGGATCTCTTGAGAATTTTTGAGGAGGCCGAGCCTCCCTTGCCTCCCTTGTCTCCCCTGACGAGCCGCCACTGGCTCTTGAGTCTCGAGCGTTGTTAGTTCTTCGCGGAAAAGCCGGCGCTGGGGTGCGCGGTTTGTGTCGCCGCCTCGTCCTCATCGTCCTGAGTTTCGTCTTGAGGGGGAGGGGGGGGGGAGGCCTACACGTAAAAGCATATGAGCGTGCAAGTTCTTACGCACGAGAGTGCGTTCTCTCATTCTCATTCTCACATGAAGGTCCCTCGCACGCGAGGGACCTTCATGTGAGAATGCACACTTGTGCTAACCCATTCCATGCCGAAGTGGGAAGTAGGTCTTCTGCCGTTTCGATGGATCACGTTTCCGTAACTCATCTGACGCCGTTGAGAGTTGAGCGATTTTGTGACGCTCCACTTCTCGAAGATTTCCCTTATAAAAAAAAAGTGGCGAAAACACCTGTCGCCTCAGACACGCGACAGGAAGGGTCGGGTCTGGAACACCTGTCGCCACCGGGCCGAACATCTGAGTCGTCTCGACGACACGCAGTTTGTCTGGAAACGGGGATCTTCCTGGAATGTCACTTTCGACTGACAGGGAATGGCTTCATCCTTTCTCGCTGAGACTCGAGCTCAAGACCGGCCCTAGCTATTTAGGCGCCCTAAGCGGAGAAACGCCGCCCCCCTCCCCCTCTTCCCCCTTCCCGCCCCTCAGGAGGGAGAAGGGTCAACCCCCTCGCGTCCAAAAAGCATTTCCACTTTCTCAAGTAAAACTGAGGGTGGCACTCATTCTGACACGTTTTGGCACCCCTGGTGAATTTGCGCCTCGTGCGGGAGCACATCTGGCACATGCCTAAGGCCGACCCTGCTCGAGCTCGACTCTCATAGCGACTAAAAATTCCCTCGGATAAATCGTAAAGTCGAGTGGAACTCAAGGGTGAAGCCGATCTTCGGGTTTCGACGTATATTACGAAATTCCCGTTTGTGAAAGAAAAAAGAATGCCGTCGAGAAAAACCGGCCGATCGGAAAAGCGTTTTCGAGCAGATTCCCGGAGGAAGTGAAAGAGGGGAAGCTGGAGATCGTGGCGATCCCGGACTCGCACTACCCGTCGGACCTGAAGGAAGAATCGAGAAGCGCGTGGCGGATCCGCGGTCGGGTCCTCCCTCGCCCCGTCGACGAGAATCGACACGAGCGACACCTGGAGTGGAAGAGCAAGCAGACCCTGGACCTCGCGGACCTCATGGACCGTGCCCACGGGGCAGGGTGCCGATGGTACCTGCAGCTGGAGGACGACGTCGCGGCCGAGCGGGGGTTCCTCCGTCGCGTCTGGCGGCTCCTGACCGCGGGGGGCGAGTGGTGGGCGGCCGACTTCGGACAGGGCAAGGGATTCATCGGTGAGGCTAGGATTCGAGGGAGCGGGAGAGGTCTCCTTCCAAGGAGCTTTTTTGCCCGGCGTGTTTCACTTTCGTTTTCGTCGCACCCGTGCGGTCCGTGGAATCCTCCAACCCATCATCGTGGGTCAAAGTTTGTTCATATCTCCAAATTTTGCTTTTCTCCGATCGTCACCTTCCATGTCGCGGGACCGACCTTCACCTGGGAAAATGGAGGAGAAGTAGGGCTTCTGCCGTTTCGATGGATCACGTTTCCGTAACTCATCTGACGCCGTTGAGAGTTGAGCGATTTTGTGACGCTCCACTTCTCGAAGATTTCCCTTATAAAAAAAAAGTGGCGAAAACACCCCCCCCCTCCCCCCCCCCCCCCCCCCCCCCCCCCCTCTCCCTCACTGATAAAGAAAGAAAAGGTAAGAGAAAAGAAGGAAGTGCATTAGAATATTATTTCGGAGTCTCCTTAAGAAGGTGTGCACCGGGGTTTACAGGAAGTGTATGACAGATACACGGAGATGTGCCAAATTTCCCACCTATACATGTTCCGTATTTTTCTGCGTGCCGATAACGCGACGCCTGCCCCGAACGCGCAAATATGCTGGTAGCGTGCAAACTAGGATCAGGAAGCGATAATTTGCATTCGGTGTACAACAGCCGATGGCTCGCCCGTCGTCGGTTTCAACAACGATTTCATCTCTGAGAATCGAAACGTTCTTTGTGAAAGGAATAAGGGTTTTAAAACGTCGCCCATGACTTCATGAGATGAGTTGCATTACATCGGCCTTGCAAACATTTGTCTCAATTACCTCAGTTCATCTCGTTCTCGTAGACGCCCGTCATAAAATTGATGAAAAATGAAGCGAATCGAATTGGGTGCATCATTTGGAGAGAAGACCGAATAAAAACTATGCGCGTGAACTGAAAATTGTGAAAATTTTCGCACTTTTACCCTTGAACAAAAAAAATAAGTGGTATCGTTTTAACCTTTTTGTTTCTTCCGGGAAGTCAACAACATATCGCATTTCGTGCCGAGTGGAAAAAATTCGCCCCTGCGAACCGAGCTTCCTTAAATGTTTTAAATCTCCTCGAAATTATTAAGGGTTTCTCGTCGAGTCCGGAAAAAAACTCAATGATTTTCACTCTTTCCGCGTGATTCACCTTCGCGGAGGCCTTTCCTGTCGAGCTAAAAAAAAGAAATCTGAGAATGAATTGTATTAGAGGCAAAAAGTTCAACTCGATTTTTCTCATGTTGGTCGCATTCGACTTCATGCTCAGGGAAAATGTCTAGTTTCAGTAATAAAAACAGTGGATAATTGTTGCCACTGTCAACATGCTTGCAACGTCTAAACGAGACCACTCGATTATACGAAAAGCGACCGAAACGCGAACAGGAAAAGAAAAGTAAAAGATGTTGATAGCTTTAAAATTAATTTTCTTAATCATAACTATTCCGTAATAATTTTTTTAATAAAACGGATGATAATAAAACAGACCTCTTCCGTTCTCATCTGGTTCTGCCACGTGGAATCGTTGCATCGTGTCGATCGCCGTACGAAATTCTGTGGGCGCGAATGATCCCGAAACGTTTTCGCTCATATCGAATGCTACCTTGCCTAAGGCGTGCAGATGCAAGTCGGATCGGGCAAAGCGGAAAAGACTGTCGGAAAAAATGTGGGTCTTCTTCTGCTTCTTCATTCACTCGGGCTTCGTTTCTGGCCTGAAGTCGATCTACGCGGTCGAAAATCGAGATTCGTCGTTCTTCCGCACGATCAGGTTCCGAGAAAGAAGCCTACGTGAAGCCAAAGAGGCCGGGGCGACGAGACGATCGGAAAAGGGCACGTATGTAGGGAAAAAGCGGCCAATCTCGAGGGAACGTGGATGGAACGGCGCGAGCTGCTGCCCGCTGTGCTTCGAAACTGGCTGGGGAGGGATCGAGGGGCTGTTCCCAAGCAATTCGTCATCGCGAGAGCGGGTCGCATCGACTGAGGGCAGAATGCGGAGGGAAGCTCCTTCTTATTACAGCGGTTTTCTCTTTCGGTTCGTTCCCAGGGAGGGCGGTCGGATGTCATTATCCTCGTCCTCCATCTCGATTTACTCTCGATACCACTCTCACCCTCCTCTAGGAATCCCTTTTTCATCCATGCAAGCAATCAATATTAGCGGCGCAGTCATGAAAAAATGAGAGCGAGAGAGAGAGAGAGAGAGAGAGAGAGTGTGTGTGTGTGGGGCTGATGAAATTAAACTGCAGGGAAGGTGTTCCCGTGCAAAGTACTTCCTCGCTTGACGGCCTTCATGAGACTCTTCCACGCGAGCGAACCTGTGGATTTCCTCTACATCCACTTCCTGAAGACCACCTTCTGCCCCCTCCTGGAAAAGGTAAAGACCGGCTGGAATCCTGCCATCTCCTCCATCCCATCCCCCTAAGGACCGATGGAACCCGTCTCGGGAACATCGTGTCTACGAGAAAACCTTGTTCTTGTGGTCCTTTTGGAGATGGCGAGGAGAGAATTCAGTTCTTTTGACGTCCGTCGGTCTCAAAGAGAAAAATAGTGGACGTGGTGAATGTTTCAGGACCTCATTTGCAACTCTATTTTAGAGAGGGTCTTTCTGCAGCGAAGGAAGCTCTTCCATCACATCGGCCACATATCCTCTCTCCCTTGGAAGAGGCACAAGATCACCGTGAGTGGGTTTAATTCACGAAACGCCATTGATCCCAAGACAAAACGCAGAACTAACATTGCTTCCCCTCAGGTTCCAGATTCGGCCGAGGGATACTGTCTCTGACAGAGGCAGCGAAAGGGAGAAAACACTGAATATTTCAGTGACGACTCATTCTGCTTCTTCTTGGGAGGATTTACAGCCGCGTTAAAGAACCTGGGATTCTCCTCTCTTCCTGCCATCGATCTCGTCCAGCTTCTTGCTCTTCTCTTTCACTTCTCATTTCCTCCTGATCGATTAAAAGGATAAAAGAAAATGCAGTCAGGGATTGATTTTGAATCTACTTGGAGTTCTAACGACTCGTCGAGGACCTGCGATGTGGCCACGCGATTGCATGTCACAGTGAAAGGCCCTATCTATATCGAGATCTGGGATGACCGTAGTGTGCGATCGCAACGAGAGAGATGGAAAGAACGGGCGGAGGATCTGATAGACTCGCTGGGGGATACGTGGATCGATGAAAATCAGGTTCCTCTTCGCCGGAAGACAAACAGACCGGTCCTGACAAACGAAGCAACGGAAGTTTTTCATTTATTCCGGAATGGAAAGTAAAGAGATCGAGAAGAAAACGAGATATGAGACGCAGGGGACGAGCGATCAGACGTATGTGACCCTGCCGGTGGCGACGGTCTGGGGAATGACGTTTGCAGTGTTCAAGGCGTGCAACGCGAGTCGGTTCACAGGTCTCCACCGTGCCTGGACGCACCGTTCCCTCACGGCCGCGATGTAGTCCTTGTACGCTTTGGTCTCTTCGTTCTCCCGTTGCTTTTTCTTCATGTACTTGACCATCATGAAGACGATACCAAAGGAGTAGAAGGAGAGGACGACGATGATGTATATTATAGCGTTGCCCTCGTCGCCGGGCACGTGACCGCCACCCTTCCGCGGGTGAGCCTGCTGGGCGGCCAGCCTCGACGCTCGACGCAGCGTTTCCACGATCAACGAGTTGAACAGGGCGGTCACATTTCCTAGGCAATCCTCATCTGTCTCCGCCGTCTCTTCCATTATCATCCTACCCGCACCCGTTTGCTTCCCCCAACTTCGTTCGTGTCTCTGAGGGGAGACAATGGCTTCATCTGCAAAATAAATGGGAAATATCAATACAAATTAGTAAATAAGAATGAAAGCAGTTTCTTCGACAAGTTAAAACAGAAAATAATAGAAGAAAAATAAGGGAAATCGTTGGGTGTGAATAATATAAAAGTGCGGAATGAAATCCGGAAGGATGAAAATGGGTGGAAAGACGGACGGATATAGAGAAAATTGACAGAGAGGAAGTGCTGGAATGTGCATTGATCACGCTCCACCAGAGTCGAAGCCCTTTGGAAGAAAATGCAATCGTGGCAAGGCGTTGGGGTTAGGGATGGATAATGAAGATCTACGGCCTACATTGTTCCTTTCACATCCAGACTATTACGCCGTGGGCTCCCAGCTTCCATTTTCCCTCTTTTTTTTTCCAGGGCGATTTCGAACATGAAGGTATACCAATAATAATAATAAAACATATGCAACGAAATTGTCAAAGGTTTCGTGAGAAGAGAATAGGAACGAGACTTGGAAAGTCACTGGCACTGGATGAAAACTGGGAATCGTTGGCTCGCAGGGAGGGAAAGGAAAGCGAGTGACGATTCCGAGTGCCACGTTCGAACACAAGATCGATTCCATGCGCACGCCACGACCACCATCATACTCGATTGCCACGCACCGAAACGATTGATGCCGATTTCAAACTACTCACTAAGAACGCAAGGACTTATCTCCGCTAGAATGGAGGGGAGTGTGGTGCGGGAACGGAGCAAGGAAAGTGGACATGCGAAGGAAGGAAGATGTAAAACGCATGCGTTCCTCTCCATCCACTCCCAAGCTAGCATCAAAATATCAATGAATCCCCTTCCGCCTCATGAGGACGTATATTGCTTATACTCTCCCTTCTGTTTCTCCTTGACATAGGAAACGCGTGTGATAGGGGCGGGGGGCGAGAATATATGATATGTCTAGCCTGATCATCCGGATGGGCCGTTACGTTTGGGTGTCAACCGGGACGGTTGCTACCCAGGGGGTTACCTTAAGGGTACAGTACAGTCGATTAACTCTCAGAACGATTCGCATTTCTTTCAAAGACTGATTGGCTTCATGATTTATTAGGTGTGAAAGGAGCACGAGAACAGGTGTTTATCATCTCTATCAGGGCTGTAATCGGTGATACTTCACGGATGTCAAAGGGGCATCTTCTGCCTGCTACCAGAGACTTACTTGATAAAGAAATCTGGACCATTATTACTTATGTAGTGTTGGGATCAATTTAAATTTTTAGTAGCACACCAAAATCTTCCTTCTCAAGTTAATTATTAGTTTGCAACTTCATATTTATATAAATAACAATGGTAAGAAGTGCTGGTGTAATAAACACCAATAAAAATTAATTTTCCAGCATCAAGCATTCTCCTTCCACTTCTGGCAACCCTGAATTTTCCTGTAGTTTGGATATGGGACGTCAACCATTGCTTTATGACCCCCATTAGGCCATGAAAAGAGAAACTGTCAAAATTGAATATAATTAGTTTATTACCTTTGAGGCACCAAGGAATGGCTGTCATGAGTTTGCCAACTAGTTCTCAGGGAATCAACTATCTGTGCTTGGCTCCATCGAATTACCATTTTAATAGAGAAACGGAAACCCATCCTATTACAAGAAACCAAAATGAATTTGACTCAATCAACTCAAAGCATACTTCATTTGTGCAAGGGGGTTATCCTTAAATGAAGGGAGCATTGTGGGTTTTCTTTCTACACCCTGAACCTTGAGGAAAACTAAAGGTGTAAAATTGAATTCTACCTGCTTAATCTTTGGGGAAAATACTCAAACACCTCTCTGATAGGTTCAGCTGGGAGCTTTGTCAACATTGAAAAAGTCCATATAGAATGATTGCATGGAAGATACAAGATAACAGTGACCCCGCCCCTCACTCCCTGAGAAAAAAAAGGAAAAAAAGAAGTGGCCTCACTATGTTGTCATAAACACTTCTTGTTCTTGAACAGAGGCTTGAGAGCCTCCATCACCTCTGGAGATTGCAGCAACATCTAGAAGAGGTTTGAAGAAAGTCATTACTTCCAAGGCCTTTGAACATGAAGAAAGAAAACTAATTTGGAGAAATTATTGCACCAAATTCAAATGAAACATCAATGGATTGATTCCCCATGTTGATACAAACCTGGGAAGTACAACAGCCCTCATTCATGAATTTCAGTCTACAGATAAAATTTAAAAATTATTTATATACTTTCTGGCTCAATTTTCAGTTGAAGGCATCCCTTGATCTTAAGTAAAGTTTGGTTCAGGTGAAAGAGCGCATATATTTGTATTTTTCATGACTTTGGAGCAATGAAATACTGGTTCAGTTCATTGCTTGAAATATATATTATTGTTTTTTTTTCTCTTTCCTGGTTAATACTTATAACTGTTTCACTATATACTTAAAATTGATATGATCAAATAATTTTTTTTTTTCCAGAAATTAGAATCTGCCTCATGAAATAAGCAAAATTGATGACTGCTCTAGAGACCAGCAAGCCTTTATTGGCTGTTACACAGTTGGAGAGAGTGATGTGGGGGTCAAGAAGAAACCCATCAGGAAATTCATCAAGATTACAGTCTCTACACATTGAACATCAATAGGGTTTCTTACATTATATGGAGTGGTTCCTTCTAAATAGGAACCCCTATGGTTCTTTACTATGACGTTCTAATAACATAGAATACTATTCCACTGTCAGATTCTGACCCTTGAGAATGCAATTTTTGTCATAATTCAGAGCAATATGGATTCAAGTTGACACAAGTTCACAGAAGCAGCAGTGAAATGCTGATTCAGAATTATTTCTTTTGTTTGGTGTTGCTTCAGTCTTGAGTCCTGGTGTTTTCAATTTCAGGGAATATATTAAAATTATTCAACCTTGCTGTAATGCGAAGGAGTACACCTTCTTCAGGGTTTACACTAGCTTTTTTAAATCTTGAGTCCTGGCACCTAGCTTCAACTCAGTGGGAACATGTTCAGGTGGTTATCAATGAATCCCATGGACTTAGATGTTTTGCAAATATGAGTCCCTCCAAGAAAATATAAGTCATGGACTCACTATAGTGAGTTAACGTGTACCCTATTCTTCCACCTGATCTACATTGTAATGAGAGGCTGAATATGGAGAATGTATCCCTTCAGTCCAAAACTGCTGCCTAAGAGCCTGGTGAGGGTGAAATCCCATGGAATATATTGCCACAATGTTTGTGACATAGCATGGAAACAACATGGGATACTACCAGGTAGATAGTTCTCTGGCTTAGTTGGGGGAAATTTTTTTTTTTTAGCTCATATCCATGTGCCTACCTTATAGCTCTTCATGTAATCTATACACAATTTGTCTTTGATGCTACATTATGGCCTAAATATCATGGTAAAACCAGCATAAGGCTCTAATGAAGAGATTCTCCATTTGACTTATCTACACTTACCAGTGTAGCTTGTGCTAGGTATCACTCTTCAATCTGAACCTTTCATGCTCTCAAGGGGAGATATGCCATCAACACCTGCTATATAAGCCAATACTTACATAAGTTTAATCAAAAAGCCTCACCATTTTCTTGTATGCTAGGACGTCATTCAATATGGCAGGGTTTTGGATGAAATCAGGCAGAGCACCATTTGATGATTCACTACTAGCCTTCTGCAGAGGTGCCAAGACTTGTTCTTCCTTTGGCACATTCTCTGGAATACATTTCTCATTGGATTTCTTCCCTTTCCTCTTAGTCTCAGCACTTCTTTTGCAATGCACCTCCTTTGCTTTCCCATGTTTAATCTTTGGTTCAGAGCCAATCTCTTTTGCCCCACTGGTGACTTTTGATGGAACTGCTGTAGGTTCATTATCAGCTTCTTGTACTGTTTCCACTTGGACAACCACTTCTTCCGTTTTGCACTCCATATTTTCTACTTATAGGCTAACTAAAATATAATTTTCTGGCAGGATCCAGCTGCAAGGGGCTCCTAGGAAAATCATTAATTCATAATTGATTAGGAGTTGGGCCACTGAGATTAGTTGGTATCTAATTTTGTCAGGGATATTTGTCAGCTTAATTTTTTGTTAACTGTGTTTTTATCGATTTGCCATTGCATATGCCAACATACAGTATTTCTCATTATGGGCACTTAGGTCCATGGCATGGTGCTACATTTAGATACTACTGCATTGCCACATATATCCAAGTGAGAATGTTAATATGGCTTAGGATGGCTGAGCTGCATTTGGCAGACTGTGAATAATTGTTGGGAATTCGTTGGATAAATGAAAGGTTTTGAGCAAACCTAAGTCTAACATATGACACTTTCGTGCCATCCTTCGATTCAGAGAAGTCACATTAGACCTAGCCTATCGGTTAGGTTTACAGGCCTAATGCCTACACGGCTTCCTTTTCATTCGATCCTACAGTCCACGTCCGATCCCCTAGCCTAGCACAGGCCTCTCAACCTGGGACTTCCAGATGAATTTTTGGGACTCCAACGAAGCTCCGGGCTTAGAAATACCACTCTTCTTTTTCATTCCTACACATATTATACATGCAGGGATCACACGCAGCATGTGGGTGTTATTTAATTACATACTATTGGGTTCCTCGAAGATCTTGAGTCCCCTTTACGATTTCCATGGAAAATAGGTTGAGAAACCCAGGCTAAGCATTATGCCACATGGTGACTACTGGACGTTGCCATGCTTCGCACATGGTCGCTTTCACAAGGCAAGCATGACGTGTTCCTCCTGCTCACGGTGCTCTTTTTGCGACATTGTCTGCTGAATGGGGGGAAGTTAATCCTGGTGAAACCTCATAAGCGCGATGAGAATCGAAGTTGAGGATCATGAAGAAGCATTCCGTGGATTGGAAGCATTCCGTGATGAACATTTGTGGTATTCAAACATCCGTCGGCTTTCTCCCAGCTCTTCCTCTCTTGGGGCTGGGGCTCCTCACTTCCTCACTATATCTCGCAGCTGCCCTAGGTACTTTTATTTTCATGAGACTTCCTTTTAGCCTGTGATAGGTCGAATACTGAATTGAATTCAGCTTCCTGCGATATACAACGATAACGTTTTGCAGAACCTCAGTTGGACATGTTTGAAGGAGTTCGTCAGGTCGATTGGATCGATGGAGATCATTTCTTTGAAGTGACAAATCCTCCTTACTTGGCTTACACTTACAAGATGAGGATGGCGAAAGACTTTGGAGGCCAGTTTGTGAGTTTATTTGCATGAGGTTATGGAATTGTGTATGAGAATTCCCTGATTCTTGGATGCTCTTATTGGTTTTCAGAATTGTTCTCTGAAAGATGTGCTGCTAGTCCCAGCAAATCCCTTCAATGGCTGTGGATATCCCAGAAATGATGATCTCCTAAAGGGCAATGTGGCATTGGTTGAGAGAGGGTAAGTATGACACCCCAGGCATTGTGACAAATTTTGCCAAAACACAAGGGTCTCAGGTGTTCTCATTCTGGCACAAGCAGAAAAGAATTATAAGCAAGGGCTCTTGATAAGTTCCTGTTATAGGTAACTTCCTTGCCAAGTCTAGTTCAATTTGGAATATAAGTGAAAGAAATAATAAAAAAAAGAAAAGAAAACAATACCTGGTGAATATGCTCTTGTAAAAGATGACTTTCTTTCCTAATCTTAATTTGAAGGTTGCCCTCTTCCCTTTCCTGCTATTTCCTTCAGTTGCTATGTGAAATAGCTTCTGAACTGTGGCTCACCTTCCATCTAAAAAACCTGCAATGGTCTTTTCTGCTAGATTGAGTTTTACATCCCTGGTTGTTTTATTTTAACAGGGATTGCTCATTCCTGAGCAAAGTGTTGCAGATGCAGCGTGCTGGTGCGATTGCTGCCCTGGTGACTGATGAGGATGAATATGAGGATTATCTCATGATCCACATGATTGAAGATGGAACCGAGAGGAATCCTTTCATTCCTGCTGCCTTCATTGTTGGCAAAAATGGGTAACTTATCACTTCATTCTGACATGATTATTTTGCAGTCATGTGCTGATCTAAAGCAGCTCTAGGGTGTTTTATTCTTGATGTATAGTTTTAAGGATTTTCGACTTCATCTCTATTAGTAAAACATCTTATCAGCAGCAAGGCATTCCTGATATTACTTCCTTTTCAACAGTTGAGACAATGGGCAGAACTAATTACTTCTCTATGACAAATTTCTGTTAAGCATAGCAAGACTGATGAGGAGTCAAAATCATCATCATATATGGGGTATGGATGGAGGGAAAGCATTTTGGCTGATGAGTTCTTTATTCAACAATCTTGTCATGAGAAATCGTTATGGCAGGATGTGAAATGGAAGTCTTGAATGGGGGAATCATCAAAATTGTCTCTTTGGATGTTACTGAATGTGAAATGAGAGACTCTAAGAAGTGCCATGAGTTTCAGAATCAGGCCAAATCTCTTGGTGATGTTGTCCTGTTGCCCATGTAACATTATGCATATAAATTTTGCATGAGAGCTTACATAATTTTTGCAAGGGTTGCTATTGATTACCTGTAATGTTCATCTTTGCCTTCTTTCAATTTAGTCTTCTTCAGAGACCAGAAGAGCAGAGTACAATTATGGGGCAACATGCTCAGGGATGGACTAAATGAAATGTTGACATTTTCTACTTTTGTCTTTTATATGAACTTGAAGGCACTTTATAGTATAAAACATTTGTTCATTTTGATTGGACCTTTTGCTGAACCACAAGGATGTGGTTTTTATATTTTAGAGAGGTAGATGAGCTAAGATTCTGGACAGTTGAGAACCAAAAAGCCATAAATTCACATCCATGGAAATTACTAAGGATTTTTTGACCCAGGGAATATGATCTTGAATTCCATGCCTTCAGCATGGAATTCAAAATCATGTCATATCTTGCATGAAGGGAGGTGTTATTATTTAGTGGGATGGACAGTACTTGAATGAACTCCTTGAACCATAAAACAGGAATACTGCCAGCACCTTGAAATTTGATTTTGAGCAAGCATTGGCACCTGTAGGTTTCTGTTTTGGAGATAGTCAAGAAGAATTATGCTTTGCCTGTATGTTTTGACCTCATAGTCTAACACTCCTACTCATGTTGCTCATGGCTTAAATTTTCCAGCCACATGATCTATCGGAGCCTGCAACAAATGGGTCTGAAGTTTGCTGTGATCAACATCCCTGTGAATGTCACCAACACTCCCATCCATAAGCTGAAGCTGCCTCCTTGGGTTATTTGGAGGTGATATCCTCAGGAAACAATTGGATACTTTCCTTGCAATGTGATCAACTGTGATGAGTGAGCTATCCTATTGTACAGTTGTTGCTTTATTGTTTTCCTATTGCATCTGTGTGTTCAACCTTCCAGCAATCAGTAGAATATGCTCCAAGCCAATGTTGGCCTACATCATTTCTCTTTGAAAGTTCATTTGACTGGAACCATCATATGAAATTAATTATGTAAACATACATAAATGTACAAATATTTATGCAAGTTTATGTATGTTTTAAGATTTCTGGTTACATCACCTCAGGTATAAGACCTGCTGCATGTGTCAAGAAAAATTAGAGAGGCACTGCATGATTGAAATTTGGAGCTATTGAATCCAAAGCCATTGGGTCATATACAGTGGTGTATTTTGGCTGAAGAGTCAAGGGGGGCAAGGCAACAGAGCAGGGGTGTCAAATCCCACCCAAGCGATATCAGGGGAGAAAATTATTACCTCCAAGGGGGCACCATGAGCTGCATAAAATACACCACTGGTGATATGGAATGCAGTGATGTTGTTTTTCTGTTTTCCATGGTTACATATTGAGTAGTTGTGCCAATTGTATTTTACCATTCATATGCATTTTTGGAAAGGATTATGTCTGCTATTAATATTGTTACCAGACTGCATTTTTTGTGCCTCTGCACAACTTAATAAGTGCTATTTTCAACCTTTGGCTGGTCCTTCTAATTCAATACTAATTTCTCCATATTCCATATGGTCATAGTAGTCTACAGAGCTATACAGTGTGGCTCAATAAAAACTAGACTGAACTTAGTTTACTTTTCAGGATCATCAAGAGAAATGCATTGAGATCAACAACCAAACACCTCAAGCAAATACTGTTCTCCCTGCACTCAGAGAGGTTTTGTAAGTTTGTCACACCATAAAATAATAATAGCATGTTTCAGTCTAGTCTATCAGACCTATGCTGAGAAATGGTAAGACTTTTGTGGATAGGTATATATTTCAATGCCTTTGTTGTTATATCCCACCACAATTTGTGAGCAGTTCCTCTTATTAAAAAAATAAGGTTAATTTTGACAGATATGCTTTAAGACTTGAGGTTTGAGAAATTTAAGACTTGGAATGGACCATGATGACCCATGACTTCATCTGCATCCTTCTTTTTTTTTTATTTTTTTGTTAGCATACCTCCATTCTTGCAGAAAGCCTGGCAATGACTATATGTTGAACAACATGATGCTGGTTCATTTTGCTGTGCTGTGCCAAAGGTTTGTTTGGTTAAGGAATGTAGTAGTGCACATCATGCAATACCTCAACCCTGATATTTTTCATTGATGAGTTGGAAACATTATGATTTCTTGTTTTAATGTGGTGCTGTATTTATGAACCTTTCTTCTTGCATGGGGCTCTTTCTGAGAGAAGTCCAATATCTTGCACCTGAATCACTTAATTTAAAAAATTTTGCAGTTACTTTATTGCTTTTGCTATTTCAAAATTACTTTGCAATTGAAAAGTGCCCATTCAGTTCCAGAAACTAAAAATGCTTGAAATCAATGTTTTGTCATTTCCTCATGATCTGAATTTCCAATTACACTTTAAATTATTCATTCATAAATTCCTTTAATTCCTCTAGTCAGCATAACACACCTGAAGTGCTGACGTATTAACAAGAAATTGATTAGGTTGTAGGAGCATCCATGAGTGTCAGAGTGCACAGAGTGGAACCCATCTCCCCAACAAGAAACTGTTGAGAACTTTTTTGTCAGAAACCTTACACATTTTCTGGTATCAATAGGAAACATTTCCCTCCCCCTTTTCATAGGGCTGCAATTGCAATTGAAAGCCTGGAAACGGGCAATGTAAACCTGCAATTCTGGGAATGGGGAGAATGCTATGAGTGACACCAACTGTTGTATTTAGTATTTTGGGGCTTAAGAGATTAACTTGAGAATTGTTGTGCTTGGACTATGTGGATGCCTTCACAGACATAAGACTGTAAAAATTATAATGTCACCCTATGCAAGAAGTCCCATGCTTTAGAAGGGAGAGGTTCATGAATACATGCATTTAAGATATTGAGAATGAGTTTCCTTATGTTCCTTATTTGCACATCATGCCATTATGTGCTCCTAGAGATATCTGTGATAGATCTTTGTCTTTTCTCACTTCATGGTTCAAACGTATTGTCTGTCTTTTAAATCCATAAAGCCTGTTTCTTGACTGCAAGTGGAGGGACTTTGCGGAGAGGGGCTATAGATGCTAGAGGCTAAAATGTATCAAACTGATTCTCTTCTGTTACTTGAGACCAACTTTTCATTGACTCTCAATAATAATAATAAATTTTTTGCTGCCAGGAAGTGTGCAACAACCCTAGGCTTGAAGATTTTTTTTTCCATCAAAATTTGTAGCTTGAAATTAGGATCGTTTGACAACTTTAAGTGCTAAGTTTCTGGAGTAGCCTTCCTTCTATGAAAAAAAATAATTGGCAGCATTTCACGTGTGATTGTGGAAATAGTGCAAGTATTCATTGTAATAAGTAAATGGTGTCTTCTTGAGCAATTGACTTGAGTTTGTAAGCAAGAAAATTAAATTTTCCAAAGATGCTCCTGTAATGAGGATTTAAAGGATAGACTTCAGATTTTCGATATTGCACATTGATAGGGGAAAGTGTGGACCTTTGTTTGCCTTCGTGTGTTGGAAACAATGATTTGTTTTACTTCCACCCTCTGGTGTATTTGCTGATGACGAGAATGAATTGCGTAATCGGTTATTGCAAGGACCGGCAAAGTCCCGAATTTTTTGGGACACTCGTATAGAAAGTCTAAGGTCTTAAGAGAAGTCGATGGATGCCGGATGAAACGCGGAACGAGACCTGTATTTGAAAGATTTCCAGACGAAACATTTTCCATCCAAATGAGCACCGGACGATACGAGATGAACTGGATCCTGGTTGGCGATGGCAGTACGTTTCAGCGATTCATGTGACACTAGTTTCCTTGGGATTTCGCGGGGACCTCCACTCGTGCCTGAAGGCAAGGCAAGGCAGGAACTATTCCTCCTCTTCTCCACCGCAGATGACCTTGACGTAGTTGGGGTAGTCGATCCAGGATTTCCCTTCCTTCTCGTAGATGGGGGCATCTCGTAGGGCCAAGTCGCACTGCACGACATGCGAAAGAACACGGACAGGACTTTAATTCCTTGAAAAGTGTGACCGGACGAGCAATAAGAAGCTGTAGAAAGTACGAACCTCTTGAGTGGTGAACTTATCTCCCCAGGTCATCAGGTCGTGCCGAATGCTATCGGAACAGGAAAACAAAATATTGTTGCAGTTTTCCCTCATCTTGTCATTCACGCAAGACTCGATCCAAGTATTTAATCCATCGAGCAATTTGAAGCCGTGCCAGAGACGTCGAAGATGAAAACGATTAAAACCCGAATCGGCTTTAGGTGAAGGTCGCCGTTATAAGCGCTATCCGCGTGGTTGCATCACATTTCGGCTTCTGCTTACGATCCCACCGTGTTGCACTTTTTTCTCTCACTATTGTTCTTCGAAACACTACTCTGATCCGTGTCAGATATTCCTTCCATTCTCTGTGTCGAAGGAACTCCAAGGAGTAAGTTATTGGGTCTATAAATGGTACCCCTTATACTGTATGAGCGTATTTAAAATTTCATGAGGAAAAATTCCTGCGATCACCTCGGCACTTGGTAAATTTCGACCTCAGAGACTTCTACCGATTATGCAACTGGAAAGTTTCTCTGGAAACGAGACGCACTGTAGATCGCAATTCCAAGAGAAAAGAACGGAATTGGGGCATGATATGCAGTCGTCCAGAAATTAATTGCCTTTCCTGGTTGTATTTCACCGTCGATCGTTCCATCTCGTGATGAAGAAGGAAATGAGACGCATTGGAAAAGTTTTTTTAGATGAAAAAGTAGGTCATCCTAGATTTTTTATGTTCACCGGTCCTCTCGCCCCATCGGGCCAGAAAACCGAGCGACGATACATTCGAAAAGGTGTTTCAATGAGAAGTCCTGCTCCCGGTTCCCCACCTCGTGGTGCTTTAAAGCATTTCCTATCGAATTCGTGGCAAAAATATCCGCAACTTCTAGCGGATCTCGAGTGTCTTAATCTCCGACGACGGGAGTAAACGGGACCACGACCGACTCCATCGAGACTCGAAAAGATCGCGGCCGCCTTCGGTCGCTCGCACTCCTCGGTTTCGCGAGGCGACCGAAGGCGACGTGCCCGCGACTCGGTGGAACTCACGTGTCTTCGTCGACGAGTCCCTTGATCTCGGGATCCCAGGCCTTGAAGGCCATCCCGAGTTCTTCCGGGTCGGCGACCGAGGCGAACTTCTCTCCGAACAGGGTGAGGAACATGGTGAAGTTGATCGCTCCCGGGGCCTGGCGGGAACGAGAACGGACGGATCCCGAAACGAAAGACAGAGAAAAATGCAGACGGACGAAGGGTCTGGATCACGGACCTCGGACATCATCTTCTCCAGTTCGGATTCGGTGGCGCTGATCCCGAGGGACTCGTACGTCTTCCTCAGGTCGTGCTTGTCGATCACCCCGTCCTTGTTGTTGTCGATCAGCTGGAACGCCTGCCGGAGAGAAAGAGAAAGTCCGGTATGTTCTCCCGTTCCTTCGTTCTCCCTCGATGGAGGATCCCCTCCC